TTTTTTTTTTTAGTTTTTATACATAAATGTATATAACTAAAAATGGGACTCTTTAAATTTGTTGATTTTAAAACTAAATAAGCTCTACAGTTTTAAGAATATCTCCTAAAAATTTCAGAGTGGGAGGTTAAGTGGTTTCTGTCCACCAGCCAATTCTTTATAGTCATTTCAGCTCTTTTCTCATATAAAGTGCACCTAAGAACAGTAGCATACAGTTTGTTTATGTTTTTTGTGAAACATTTTGTATGAGTTGGTATTTTTTTTTTTTAATATTAAAATTAAGCATCTCAAACTATATAACAAGTTTCAGTTTAACGTAAAAATACATGCTGATTTTTTATAACGAACCCCTAAGCAAGAAAAAATTATAAATACTTTTCAAAATCGCTTTCCATACTTCATTTTAGCAGCATTCTAGTGCATAACTCAACAGGCGGATGACGTATTAGTCATGCTGACATCTTTTTTTGTCATTAAAATAAGAAATTCGGGCACCTATGTATACGGTTTTTTCTGAGGAGCACTTTTGAACCACAACCACTTTGGAATTATACGAATTATAGCTCAGTTAATTTTAAATTCTGTTTTATAAAATGTCTACAAGGAAGTTCAAGAACATTTGTTGTAATCCTTTAAAAAAAAAAGTCGCACGCTTCAAAAGTCCATAAATATAATTTGCGTCGACCGTCAAAGAATATTTGTGAAAGGTTCAAATCCTTGTGCCCGACAGATCTTTTGTGTGACTCTTGTAGACGTGATATAAATAATTTTAAGGACTCCGCATCAATTTGTGAGGAATCGGATTATTATTCTGATACTGATGACGGTGATTCCCTTTACGATTCTGACAGTGAGGTAAGTAACTAGTGTCATATTTCATTAGCATATTTCAAGCATTAATTTGATTTCTAGGAGGAAAATGGGTACAGTACCCAGTTTTTTTCAGAAATAAAAGCTCAATTTCATAATCCTGGCAAAACTCCCCAAGAAAAAATTGAGCTGTTAAAACTTTTAGATATAAAATGGAGTATAAACAAGACAGCAAAAATGATGAATACTTCTCGATACATTGTCTCAAAGGCAAGAAAATTTCGGAAAGTTAACATTCATTCTGTGAATAGCAAAGGAAATAGTAAGATGGGATTTGCGTTTAATATAAAAAGCACTTAACAAATTCAAAATTTTTATAGAAAAGGCTCTTTCTGCAGAAACAATAAGTATGGTCAAAGAATATTTCGAGCACGATGACATAAGTTCTCTCATGCCAGGACAGAAAGATAAGAAATCTGTTAAAATCGATGGAAAATCTGTAATTTTTCAAAAACGTCTTGTGTTAGGGACTCTGAAAGAAATTTATTCAAAATTCCTTAAAGATAATCCTAATGTGGCAATTGGCCTATCAAAATTTTGTTCTCTTAGACCACCGCATTGCATTTTAGCAGGTTCTGGAGGCACGCATAACGTCTGCACGTGCCCTATCCATGAAAACATAAAACTTATGACATTAGGTAAGAAATTCTTGGAAAATTTACATGCAAAAATTATTAATTATGTGTATATGTATGTGTTTTCAATATTTTTAGGCAGTAATTTGGTGCTTTTAATGAAAAAAGAGGAATATCCAGTAGTTAATTACGAAGATGTTATAATGCTGTCGTTGTGTCCCAATCCGAAGGAGGAATGTTTTTTCAATATGTGCAAGGAGTGTTCAATCTCAAAAACACTGGAGGGTTTGATTAGTGCAATATTTCAAAAATACGAAATTAATGAAGTTACTTACAAAAATTGGAATTCACAACCTAGGACAACGTTGAAAACCATTTGTATTTCTACCGAAACGTTTATCCAAAATTATTGTTTGGCTAGCGAAACATTTCTAATGCATTCATTTATAGCAAAGGAGCAAGCCAATTATTATAAAACTTTGAAAAACAACTTAGAGATCGACCAATGCTTAGTCACTTGCGATTTTGCTGAAAACTATGCCTTTATTGTCCAGAACGCTGTTACTGGATTTCATTGGAATAATGACCAGGCAACGATTTTTCCAATTGTGTTCTATTACAACGATGGTGGGAAAATTAATCATCAAACACTTATTTTTATTTCCGATTGTAAAAAACATGACTCGGTAGCCGTGTATGTATTTTTAAAATCTTTTAATGAATGGTTATCACGTTTCAATGCAAATATTCGCAAATGCATTTATTTCTCTGACGGAGCGCCGCAACAATTTAAAAATGTCAAACACTTTACAACTATATACAATCATGAAAATGACTGGCCGATCTGCGGAATGGCACTTTCATGCCACTGCCCATGGAAAAGTTCCATGCGATGGAGCAGGGGGAGCTTTAAAAAGAAAAGCAAGGAAAGCTAGCCTCCAGATGACTTCAGAACATCAAATAACCACTGCATATCAACTGTATGAGTGGGCTCTGCAAGATGGCACTTTTCCCAGTATCGAAATAGCATTTTGCAGCGAAACTGATTACGAAACTGCAGCTGCATTCTTGAAGGTGCGGTTTGAGAGTTGCAAAACTATACCAGGTACCCAAAAGCTTCATTTTGTTAAAGCTGAAACCGACCACAAATTAAAAGTGAAAACATACTCCAGCTGCGAAAAATTTCAAATCGTAAACTTCTTAAAAAATACATCACAACAAATTTAACAATTTATATTATCCTTATTATTATTTCATGAATTCTTTTTTATTTTACAAACTATGTATTATTATTTTTGCGTGTAAAAACTCAGTGAGCGATTTTATAAAAGTCTAATATACATAAATAAAAGTTCTAAAATGAAGTATGGAAAGCGATTTTGAAAAGTATTTATAATTTTTTCTTGCTTAGGGGTTCGTTATAAAAAATCAGCATGTATTTTTACGTTAAACTGAAACTTGTTATATAGTTTGAGATGCTTAATTTTAATATTAAAAAAAAAATACCAACTCATACAAAATGTTTCACAAAAAACATAAACAAACTGTATGCAACTGTTCTTAGGTGCACTTTATATGAGAAAAGAGCTGAAATGACTATAAAGAATTGGCTGGTGGACAGAAACCACTTAACCTCCCACTCTGAAATTTTTAGGAGATATTCTTAAAACTGTAGAGCTTATTTAGTTTTAAAATCAACAAATTTAAAGAGTCCCATTTTTAGTTATATACATTTATGTATAAAAACTAAAAAAAAAAAAATTGTATGAAAAAAAAAATATTTTTTTTATTTTTGTGTACTTAAAGAGTACTAACGATTATTAA